AGCTGTGCTTTCAGGTTCATTGTTAGGTAGTTCCAAAACCAAACCCATTGCCATCGAGTTGATTCTGACTCACAGCGACCCTATAGGACAGAGTAGAACTGCCCCATAGGGTTACCAAGGAGCAGATGATGGATTTGAACTGTCAACCTTTTGGTTAGCAGCCAAATGCTTAACTAATGTGCCAGCAGGGCTTACTTCCTTTGAAGACACAAAGAACTTTGGAGGTCTGAGCTTTTGCAGCCAATCCACACAGAAGCTGCATTCCCAGCAGCTGCTCCCTCAAGCACCAGGAGCTGAATTGCCCTCCCTCACGGGGAGCCTATGGTTTACATCTGGCAATCAGATCTATCAATTGCAAGCAGCCTGACAGCTGCAGCCCTTTACAATGGGTTGTGCTCACCCAGGATAGTGTTTGTGGTTCCAGCTATCATTTCAGGCAGCCCCCATTTGTCTCCTCCAGCGCTGCCATGCTCTATTTTAAAGCTAAGCCTTAGCTTTGCAAAACAATTGCTGAATCGAAGCCCTGCCAGTTAAGGAAAATGTCATTTAGATCATTCATCGACAGCTCAGAACTAGAAGCAAACTTTGAAGTTTAGAGAATGTTGGTTGGATGTTCTCAACCACTATCATGAATTTTGCACTGTTGATATACTTGTTCAATATTTTTTACTTAGCCCATTTCTTGGCTTTAACAAATTTATTTAAAGGGGAAACGTGCTGGAGGATTTGTTGTTTAGGGGACATTGAGCTTCTGGTAAGGATGATGATATAATTTGGAAAAAGATAGTGGTGAAGGTTGAACACATGATGAGTATAATTAATGTCACCAAATTGTACATGTAAAAAATGTTAAAATGGCGAAGTTTTGTTGCATATATATTTACGACAATATAAAAAAGAGAGAAACATCATTCCCATAAATAACTGCAATGCAAACAGTGCCAATAAAACTACAGAACAAAATTTTGAGCCTGGAGAATGTCTCTGTCTGTTAAAAAGGCAGGTAAGCAAATCTTAGAGTGACATTTAGGCTATAATAACTACCACATAGAGTCCTTGGGTGGAGCAAATGTTTAACGCCCTCGGCTGCTGACAGAAAGGTTGGAGGTTCAAGTCCATCCAGAGGCTTCTCAGAAGAAAGGCCTCGCAATCTACTTCTGAAGAGTCAGCCACTGAAAACCCTTTGGGGCATACTTCTACTCTGACATACATGGGGTCGCCATGAGTCAGAATCAACGTGACAACAACTGGTTCATCACCACACTGAGACTTTCTCCTAGACATAATCAGAAAGAGAATTAAAAAGGGAATATTTTTTCTACTATGTATTCATTGCAATTTTAATACCATGGCCATGTACCAAATACAACCATCCTGAGTAATAATAAGAGTAATCAGCGGCATTTACTGAGTTCTCACTACACACCAGGCCCTGTTGGGAGTCTTTGGTGTGCATCAGCTCATTCAGTCTCCCAAAAGGAAACCAGAATTACTACCCTCACTTTACTGAGGACGACACCAACTGCCTGGAGGTCATTGTGCCACAGTACCGCCTTTCAGCTTCAGTAAACTCAGGGGCCCAAGGTGCTGGGTTCAGCCAAAATACAATTTAAATAAAGCACCTGATATTTATGAGACAGTGGTGGTTCAGTGGTAAAATTCTCACCTTCCATGCAGATCTGGCTTCTCCCAAGCAAATACACTTCATGCACAGCCACCATCCATCATCTGTCAGTGGGGGCTTGTGTGTGGCTATAATGCTGAACAAGTTTCAGCGGAGCTTCCATACTAAAATGGGCTAAGCATCTGCTCTGCATGGGAAAAGATGTGGACAAATCTATCCTATCTATGTAGTTAAGTACCGTGTTTTATTGGCCATCTCCAGCAGGCAGTAAGTGGGCAAACCTCGGATTTCAGGATGCACTCAACTTTTAGCTAAATAACAGATTGGCTCATAAAATAAAGAATATCACCAGTAAGTACTGTGCACCTTAAAAAAATCATTTTTATGAGACCAAATGGTCAGCAGTTACTTAAAACAAAGACGAAAGGGTAAGGGGGCAGGGAAACCAGATTACTGGAAAGGTAACATCCAGAATAGAATGAATGAAAATGTTAGCACATTGTGAAAAATGTAACCGACATCACTGAACAATGTGTGTAATAATTGTTAAATGGGAACCCAATATGTTGTGTAAATTTTCACTGAAAATACAATTAAATATTATTTAAAAAAAAAGGTGCACTCAGAAGGGCTGTGTGGTGCCCTGGGGAGAACCAGAGTTCCCCACCTGCTCTTCTCTTCCATTTTGTGCCACAGTGTAGGTCCTCCGTCTTCGTAAATCTCATTTAAACCAAAAACACCAAACCCATTGCCTTCGAGTCGATGCTGACTCATGGCAACTCTGTGCACTACAGAGCAGAACTGCTCCATAGGGTTTTCTTGACTGTAATCTTTATGGAAGCAGATTGCCAGGCCTTTCTTTTGTAGTACCGATGGGTAGATTTCAACTACCAACCTTTTGATTAATAGTTGAGCATAAACCTTTTGCACCACCCAGGGACCTTTAAATCTCATTTAAGGGATCCCCTGAAGCCCATCCCCTTCATTTTACAGGTGAGGGGGGCAGCTAACTTGTAGGGTCTTGTCCAAATTGGAATTTTTAATGCCCAAGGAGGATGATTATGCACAGAGAGGATGTCTTACAATTACTTGAGTTTTCACTTAAAATTCAATTTACTGAAGCTACAAATTCAAAACGTAGCTTCCCTTAAGCCTCTAATGTCGACCTATAAAGCATATTGTTCTACTTATAAATCAAGTGATTTTATATCAAAAGAAAGACAATCACTTTGCTTGTCCTTCAACTAATGTTCTATAAACTCAAGTTAGACAGGTTAAGGAATCTTAGACAGTAAGACTTATTTACAAGCTGCGTTAATTCTCCTTAGACATTTTAAATGTATAAATTTAAGCCTTAAAATTAAATATTATAAATTTTATAAAGTTAACTATTTGGATTTTTAAGCACTTTTAATGCTGACAGGGCAAATTTCAACCCTGACACGCAAAACTTTTTTTAACAATTAACTTTTGTATATCTAACCCATTGCTGTTGAGTCCATTCCGACTCCTAGGGACCCTATAGGACAGGGTAGAACTGCCCCATAGGGTTTCCAAGGAGTGGCTGGTGGATTTGAACTGCTGACCTTTTGGTTAGCAGCCAAGCTCTTAATCACTACACCACCAGAGCTCCTTTGTATATCTAGTAAAAGAAATTTAGAAACATAGAAAAATTCAAGTTCCCTTAAACAGTTCAAACTCTTCTCAAACTGAGTCAAAAAGATCTTGACTCTGTAACTTAAAATCACAAGTCTAAAATCAATTACACATTTTAAATTGAAGCCATATGGCCTATCTGTCAGTATCCCTAATATAATCTTAATAAAAACATCAAGATTAACCTCAGTTTAGCCCCAGAATAATTACTACCATGGGTGTTAGTTCTACTTCATTGCCTTTCTTCATGTCTCTTTATCTTCTCACTTTTGCAATTTCAAAGAGGAGGGTGGTATGTGCAGATTATTATCTCAGAAGAGATAAGAGAAGTAAAAGGTTGGAAAATGTGGACCCTGAGTGTTGTCGTCAGGTGCCTTGGAGTCGGCTAGGGCTCATGGCAACCTTCTGTGTAACAGAATGAAGTGTTGCCCAGTCCTGCGCCATCTTCATGACCATTGCTATGTTTGAGTCCATTGTTTTGGCTATTGTGTCAATCCATTTCATGGAGAGTTTCCCTCATTTTCACTGACCCTCTATTTACCTAACATAATGTCCTTTTCTAGTGATTGCTCTTTCCTGATGACGTGTCCAAAGTAAGCTAAAATCTCATCATCCTCTCTTCTAAGGAGCATTCTGGCTGTACTTCCTCCAAGGCTGATTTGTTCATTCTTCTGGCAGCCCGTGGTATATTCAGTACTCACCAACACCTCAGTACTGTTGCCTGTTGCTCAGAGATCTGAGACCAGGCTACGGTGCCTAAGAATCGTGTGTTTCTGGAATAATCTTACCTCATACAGACTGACGTTACGACTCTAGATCAACAGGCTTCAACTGAAATTGGCTTTGCAGCCCTAATCTCCCAGGCTTTTCTTCAAGCTTTGTCCTTTTCACTGACAGACTTGAGTGGGTGGAATTTGCACCCTCACCCCCACTCCTTCAATGGTCTTCTCATCTGACTTCAGCCTCATTCTAATAACAGTGCCCGCTGAACATGTCATTTGCATTGTCATCTGTCACATTTCTCACAACAGCCTTCCAGTATAGATGCTCTTGCACATGAGAAAAATGAGGTTGAGAGAGGCTGCTTGGCCAAGGAAACACAAAGGCTTGGAGTTTATTGTGAGACCAGTCCATGTCCATGTTATCAAAATCCATTTGGAATTATGTCCCTACCACTCAGCTATAGGGCTGCTGTGCGTCAGAATCGACTCAACGGCAACAAGTATTTTATTCAGCTTGTTTTTTTCATCTCTGTCATACTTGCGTAATCAGCTTCCTTTCTCTTAAACATGCCTTCCTAGGATTCCACTGCACTGGACAGCTTCATACTTAAAAGTCTTTACATTTCCTTAAAGCAAAAATCTACTTGCTTTAAAATCAAGGGAATAACAGCAAGTCTGAGTGTCCCAATGAAATCTGACATGGAAAACCAAATGTCAGCAGGAACGATGATGGTATTTAAGTTTTCTCAAAATAAGAAGCAAGTTTATTCATATTCTTTATGTCACCACCTTTTATACTGGCTCATATGTTCTTTCTTAGAAAATTATGACAAAACAACCTGGCTTTAGTTTTATAGAATAGTAATAAATATCGCACTGGACTGTGGGCTGTTAATTTGGCAATGAAAATGTAATCAAAGGTTTGCAAGGGCTCAGAATGATTTTATCTTGATCATTATGAACTGTATTTTATATAACACTACTTTGTTCTCTTTCAGAAAGATGAACTTAAAGGACTTAAGTGAGGTAAGTAGCAATTTTGGCCTGGTAAACATGGAAACAAACATTTATTAAATGTCTGCTATGGGCAAGATAAGGAGCTCTGTCGGAGCAGTGGTTAAGCACTTGGCTGCTAACTGAAAGGTCAGTGGTTTGAAACCAGCAGCTGCTCTGCAGGAGAAAGATGTGGCAGTCTGCATCCATAAAAATTTACAGCCTAGGAAACCTTATGGGGCAGCTCTACTCCATCCTACTGGGTCACTATGAGTTGGAATCAACTCAACAGCAAGGATTTTGGTTTGTTTTTTTATGGGCAAGATACTATTTGCTTCAGATACTTTATAACCCTTAATTTTCGTAATAACTATGAGAATTACAGCTGGCAGACAATAGGGCCAGACCCAGAAAGTCCAAAGTTCAGGGGTCCCACACTGACCCCTATGTCTCTCTGCCTTAGAAAATACAAAGATATCTCTGAGTTAAAATAGCAAAAAAGAAGATGCATTATTATCCTTCATGGTGACCCCATGTGTTACAGAGTAGAACTGCCTCATGGGGTTTCCAAGGCTTTCAGAATTGACTCAACGGCAACGGGTTTGGTTTTTGGTTTAGTTTTAATCTTTATGGAGCAGACTACCACATCTTTCTCCTGCAGAGTGGCTGGTGAGTTTGAATTGCTGACCTTTAGGTTAGTAGCAAGAGCTTAACCACTGTACCACCAGGCTTAAGGAGTATGCTTCCATAAAGATTACAGCCTTGGAAGCCCCATGGGGCAGTTCTGCTCTGCCCTATAGGGTAACTATGAGTTAGAAGACTTGACAGCAATGGGTTTTTGGTTAATCTTAACAGAAATAGATAGCCAGGTCTTTTCTTCCATGGCACCCCTGGATGGATTGGAACTGCCCACCTTTAGGTTAGCAGTCAAGTGAAAACTGTTTGCGCCACCTAGGAACCATGAGTTGGAAGTGACTCAGCAGCAACTAACAACAACCCAACAATTATTATCCCTACTTTAAAGGCGAGAAAGCTAAAGCAAAACAAGCTAAGATCCAGACTTTAAGCCAAGATCCTTTTTTGCCACCCATGTTCAGTGCTTACTAGCACAACGAAGAACATGCCCACTTCCACATGGAAAACATAAAGTCTCCATTGATGGCTTCAAGTCTCCACCATTATACCAGACATAAAGCATTGAGAATTGTGTTGTATCTTGCTATTTGTTCTTCACAGTAAAGATAGAAGTGTGCAGTAAAATGAATACGAGATTCAGAGTCACAAAGACCTGGACTCAAATCCTGTACCACCTACCAGTTTTGTGAACTTTGGCAAGTGCTTTTCCACCCCCACTCCCCAGATTTCTGTTTCTTCAGTCACAAAATAAGGATGGGTACATGTCTTCACACAGTTGCTATACTGCAGTCAAACTAAACACACAAAAGGTCAGCTGAGTAGTTGCTGTCGTTAGTTGCTGTTGAGTCAGTTCTGACTCATGGCAACCCCATATGTTACAGAGACTGCTCCACAGCGTTTTCTTGGCTGTAATCTTTTTGGAGGCAGATTGCCAGGCCCTTCTTCCTCTGTACCAGTGTATGGGTTCAAATAGCCAACTTCTAGATTAATAGTCAAGTGCAAACCATCATGCCACCCAGGGACAAGTAGTAGAGGCTCAATAAATGGCATGGAAATTAAGTAAGATGGAAGCATTAACTTAGAACCCTGTAAGGATGTCTACTTCCATAAGTCTCCGAAGAAGTTCCTAAGAAGATGATTTCCTAGGAAAGGTAGTGTGTCCACCCATGACTAATGGAAAGTCCCTGTACAAGTGGCCTTGCCTCCCTCCCACTGAACT